TTTCATGTATTTCAAGGTTAATGCCTGCTTGTCATTATTACTTGAATAAGAAATATTTTGGGGTAGGAGGAAGAGATGCAAAAATTAAAAATTAAAAAAAGTCAGAAAGTTAATTTTCACACAGATAGTCGACACAAATGTCTCGTTCAACGGACAATTTACCCTTTGACTATGATTACCGTATTGGTAGACGATAAATATAATACAACATTTAAGAGTGAAAATATGAATTCATTGAGACCAAACATTATCAATTCAATTTTCATCTTACTTTGCTTTTCTCTCTCTTATGTTTTGACTGTTCTAGTTTTTGTCAGATGACTTGGGTGGATGTGGACATTATTTTTGCCTTTCGTTCGAGCTCACCAACATCCACACCCACTTCTGATAATATTCGTTGTGCTGAACTTAAAAACAACGTTGTAGTTACTCGATAACATTATTTGGCAACTAATGCCACTTCAATGCATACGTGACACGGCGATATAAATCCCTAAATAGAGCTAAAAACCGGCATCTAAAGCATGGAGTTGGAAAAATTTCCATTTACTTTTCAGAACTCTTACGGGCTCACTGTCTTTTCTTCTATTTCACAAATTTTACTAAACTGACATGCCAGTGAATGAAACATTAGAGGAGAGAATTTTCTCATTATTAATGCAACCAAAACAAAATTTCCAAATCGATGGAAGGATAAGCATTGAATAACTTCAATCGTCTAGAAGTTTAATTCACAGTTTAAGACAAACGAAATCAAGAAGTGAGCGACTGAACATATCGACAAATGAGGTTACCAAGCCGTTTCAAGTGTTGGCCTATACTAGGCTTTCATCATTATGAAGCGAAAGTAAAAAATTTAACTAAGTTGGTCTTTTTCACTCTCCAAGCATGGCTCTTTCAAAGGGAAAAAAAGGTTCAGATCGATTTGATATTCGGCTGCTGAGCAATGAGTTTCCATATTTTTTCATAGACCTTTGCATGGCTTATTATATTTTTGAAGATATTTATTAATTATAGAACGGTGTTACATAAAAATATCTTAATCCATATGACAGCAAAATGAAATGACTTTAGGGAACGTCCATTTTTAATATTGTTCTTGTGCTTGATTCTCGCGGGAAACAACAGAGAGAAAAATCGCTACGTGTGATGATAATAAGAACTCCAATAAGTTGGTGTTATAGGGCCATGGTGATAGCTTGACTGATGTATAATTGACTGAGGCTGGCTCCGTGGCCTTTGGGTCGAAGTTGAATGTCCGTGGTAAGTATCAGATCGTGTGTCCAAATCTGAGTAATGATGGTTATAGTGTAATCCTGCAGTCCCACCATACGCAGGTACTATGGTGGCACTAGAACGATATCCTGTCGAACCACTATAGCCATATCCTGTCGTAGGACTATTGTTATATGGTGTCTGACCACCATAGCTAGATAGCGTCGTATTATTATAGGCAGAGTTCCATGCACCACTGGTGCTAGATCCTGTCACGCCACCAAAGTCATACGATGCTGTTGTTGTTCTCGGCCTTGAACTCGCATTTGATTGTGTTACCGGAATAGTTGCGTAGGTTCTATATGTAGGTACTGCTGAGGAACGTATTGGCTCCCTTACCCTTAACACGGTAGAAGGCAACTCTTTAAATGTAACAGTCTGTCCCTGTATATGTGTTGGCCTGATGTCCGACACCGAAGTCGATGCAGTTGTTGTTTGTGAAGGAACATTTGAATAAGATTGATATTTCGATTCTGATTCACTAGAAATTGGAAGCTTTGGCTGCCACAACTCTCCTTCATAAATGATCCACTTGCTTAGACACGTAATAAAACTGTTTGCATAGACCTGCTTGACCCATTTCTGTGGCAGTTTGTCATAACCATAGTAAGCGCCAGCCAATTGGCCATAAATAGCAGCCGTTGTGTCAGTGTCATCTCCAAGATTGACTGCGTCGAGAACGCCCTTTTCAAAAGAATTTTCATCATAGCAAAAGGCCCATAAAGCAGCTTCGAGAGCATTAATAATGTATCCTTTGCCTCGAATGCCATCACGATATCCACCAGGTTTCTTATACGATCCTTGGGCAACGTTCATAACATCTTGAGTAAGTGGCTTGTTATTGAACCATGGTTTATGATTCAAATAAAAGTTGTTATCCAATAATTGTGCTTTTGTTTCTCCTCGAAGAGCTGCCACGATCAAAGCTCCATAATAGCGGCAAGCATCATAGGCCTTTTGATCACCGTGAGTAATAATGCCACTAACTCCAGAAAACTCGACGGCCTCAGTAGGATGCCGGTAGAAGAAAAGAGGAACGGGAGCCAGTCGCATAAGTGCTCCATTACCAGCTGCACCACTTTCACTGCAATTCACGTCAAATTTTGCAAGCAGATCTGGATTCGAAAGAGAATCTAATTGATCAAGAGAAATATGATGTTTGGTAGCAAATGATTGTTGACGACGCTCGAATTCACGCAGTGATTGACTGGTGGCAGCACCAATATCAAAACATTGTCCAGTTGAGGACATGTAGCCATGTTTGGACCACCATTTGTAGCGAACTAACTGGTCATAAGCAACAAAATCGCGACGAGCTATCAATGAATTTGCTAGACAAAGACCCATGGAGGTGTCGTCTGTGAACTAAATAAACGACAGTTGTCAGAAATAGTACAATCATTAATCGTTGACACATGTTTACGACGCATATTTTAAGGAAAAGTAAAAAACATAGAGCTAAGTACAGTATTCTTTTTTTTCATAGTTTAGTCAAATTTCTCAACATTTCAGAAATCTTCTCTCACAAACTAAATAGAAACCGTTATCACAATAAAAGATGTTTAGGTACAGCAACTAATGGTATTAAGAGACAGTGTAAACTACGACTCTGTTTTTAATGATAAGAGATTTGGTGGAAAAAAGATTATGTCTTAATTTCTAAATCAAAATATCTTTGTTTCGATAGCATTCCCAGTTGATGAAAATAAGATTTACATGTTCTAGGTGTTGAAAAACCTTGGCGACAACAATAATATAGACCTAGGATGCAAGGTAAACTGCGGACCTGTTCTAGTTGACCGTACTGACACTGCTGTGCTTGGAAACTTCCTTTGACATGAGGGACGATTTATCTCAATTAGGGGATGAATCTGGAAAACATCAGACCCACATCATGAAATAATGGCTTCGAGTAGAGTGCGAAATAGACATATGATACGTATATACTATTGTATTGTGACTCTTTGGAACTTTAATTAAAATCAAAATTGGAAGGAATGAATATTAGCTTTGGCACGACTCTTTTCTTCAAAGTAGTTGTGAAATTTGTTTTCAGAACCAGTGGAGGTTAGTAGCAAATGAATTAAGAATCTTATACAAAGAGAATAGACTTTACTTGTCCTTTTTTGAGACCCCAAGTCCCTCCTTCCTGCAGATCTTGCACAGGATGTTCCACCAAGTATTGTTGCGGCCGAAATTCGACGTGAGCTCCAAGCGCATCACCCAAGGCCATACCAAACATCGACCCCTTCACACGATTTAATACGGCACGATCGACACTTCTAGGAGGATCTCGTAGCTGAGTCTCAAGATCTTCAGGAGTCATGATCGATTGCTTGCTATTATCGTGATACTGGCACTCGAGCCAAGGTTTGTCCGAAACAGAATATCCATTCTTTTTTTCGATAATTTTACTCTCTGAGATGGAAGGTGTTTTTTCCATGTAACCATCGTTGGATGTGTATTTATCAATAGAAAATATTCCCGGCTGACGTTTTTGAGATTCATATGTCGGCTGGTTTGACCACGATTTATGAGTGCCTAAACCAAAACCGGAGATCATTAGTAACATACCAGTCAAATATTCTCACTGCCAGAGAATAATTAACTGAAACCAGTCGACAAATGTATATGGATATGCTTTTCTCTTCAATGATGAATCGAACTTCTATGCTTCACGCTTAATTTCAGTTTTCCATCGTTATTCGATGCTTAAGTCTGTTATCCTTCAAGCACAATTTCGAAAAATGCGTTAACATAAGCAATTTTTTGAGAAGAAAATTTGCATGCTAACCGAATACAGAAACGAGTGTCATTTTGTGATAGAGTTTTTTCAACAGGTATGCTCTTTGCAAGCTCTGTCATCCTCTTAAGATGAAGCATTGAAATATGTTTCCTTTATTATATTTGCCTATAGAAAAGCGAGAAAAAGAATCAAATGATGTGCTATTCATCTCGATGGTGGGGTATATGAATGTGAGTGTGGATGTGGGTTGTTCTGACTCTGTCTCGGAATCTAGGTGTAGGTTTTAGTCTTCTCTCCGCCTACACTCACACTCACCCTTAGCACGTCATTTTTTTTCAATATCTTTCAGATTTCGACATTTCCTCTTCTACATTTATCCACTCGATAGGTTTCCTCTTCTTCGCTGGTTTTTCGACATTTTTCCTTTCGGTCTTTCTAGGGCCAACCGAATCGCATAATTCTTTTACTGTTCTCCAAGAACTAATGAGCACTTATATCCAAAAAACGGCTCCTGTACATTGATGTCGGCCCTTATCAGACGCGATGGGAGAGAATAGGAAGGTTTCACTTTTTGCCCGACTTCTGAAACTTTATCTTGTTTGTCGTTTCTTTTCTTTATCTTCAAAACCTACAGCTTTTATTCCGTTTCGAATGACCAAATATATTGTTCAGAAAACATTGCTCAATTCCAAAAGAATCTTACTATATGATTGTGTCGACCTCAATTCTTGATTTGGTTGAACTGTAGTCGAGCTGAAACCTTGATCTGTTCGATATGTTTTACCGATTGACGATGAAAAACCCAGAGGCTGATCCAAATGTAGATGTTGAGACATTTCTTCTTGTAAATAAACTACTTTCAATCCATTTTTTTTATCTTCTATATCTGTCACTCGTAAACGCGTACCCGGCATCAGAAGAATTTCATCTTGCCATGGATCTTCAGAATAATTGCGAATCGCTTTGCCATTGATGCATTCAATTTTGAATATAGTGTACGTACTGTATGTATTGATAAGTCCTTCAACTATTGACTTGGCTTCTGTGCACGAGCTGAATCCTGACCAAATACAATAGTTTTGATAATAAGCAGTAATGTCGCCTCGGGCACAGCGCCAAACCGTGCCTTTCATCGGTGGTAATTTATTCAAAGCAGTAACAAAGAGTTTGATATAGGAAAGCCATGGGATGAGCTGTCTTTCTGCTCCAGAACGAAGTGCTTTATTCAGTTGAATAGAAATTGCTTGATGGGGTTGCCGACGCTGCATTGTATAAAGATAAATGGCAGCTGCCTCATTAACGGTAAGACCAAATGCTGGACGAAACCACTTTTCCTTTGCCCTGCACACCATGACGTCACAGTCATATACCAACGATTGAAGCTTCTTGGTTGCCTCTTCAAGTGTCGCCAACGCTTCATTTTCATAGTCATTGATAGGCGGTGATTTTAGCAGATACTCTTGATCAACGTCAAAAAAGCGTTTAGTCAGGGCCATCCCCTGTATGAATTCGTTTTGTATATAAAATACGACTGTCTTTTACTTTTGTTCTCTCCGAAATGACTTCTACTACGTTTACTGCTGACAATCTTGCTAAAAGAAAAAGAGCAAGAGAGCACACGAGAAAGAAGAAAACGAAGACATATTGGTGAAGGTCTTCACTTGCTGTATTGCACAACGGTATGTATTCAGTGACAATTGTTGTGCATTTCTTTTCTATTCTTTCACAGAGTTCTTAACGCTACACTCAACTTTTTCATTTCTACCGATCTTAAGATACAATGTAAGAATTTTCAATTGTTTTCGGACCTATAAAACAATCCCAACAAGTCTCAGAAGGAGTTCCTTATCTCGCTCCCCTTTTTCATCTGCACAAAAATTATTTCTTTATAAAAAAATTTCATAGTAAGCAGCAAAGTCTATATTGACACAATAAAAAAGCAACGAAAAAGAAAAAAAACATGTCGTAAACACACAGAAAAAAAGAAACAAGTCAAGGTACTGCATTTTGTTTCATGTTAACAAACATCAAATTTTTCAAAGGATTCTCTTCTGACGTCACTCAATATATGTCAACATCTGTTTGAAAGCACATATGGTGGTAGGCACGTAGCACCCATGTAAAAAAAAAGTAATCAAAAAATCGATTAAAAGACGATTTTAATCATACACCTTCAATCAATAGTTTAAGCAGTAATAATCACAACAAAATCAAATGATAATCGATTATTTCAGATATCATGATTATAATCCATTTTCTAAATTTTGTCAAATCGATTATAATCATGATATTTGAAACAACCGATGATAATCTGATTTTGTTGTGATTATTTCTGCTTAAACTATTGATTAAACGTGTACGATTAAAATCGATTTATTGATTATTAAAACTGATTTTTATACATATTTTTTTTACATGATTAAAGAGAAAGGATCCAGACATCTGAGTTTTTCCTCCATCCCTTCAGGAGTGAAAATAACAGCAGGTGGTTATGAGCAGAAACTTTTCTGCAGAGAAAGTTTGTTTTCCACAGTAACCCTTGTTGTTATCCCAGAACTTTGAGCCGTCTCTTCACGAAGCTTCCGATTAATCTCCTGTAGGGAGTTCAATGTCAACATCCGAAACAGCCCCATCTTTATAATAATATTGCTCTAGCTCACACTCACAACGAGACCTATAAAAAACTTTGGTGTGTTATCGGAACATCCTGACTACGTTGAAAAAGAACTTGCCATTGCAATACCTTACTCCGACACTGAGTTACAACAATATGTGTATCCAAGACTTTCATAGAGGCAGGTAGTGAGAATTATTCCTACTGCTTTTTAATGGGGCTGCTGATCGAGCTCGACAGACGGATATGGGCCGTATCGACATAGTGTATATCATAAGAATCTTATTCATTTTCGCCTCTGTAGAGATTGTATTGCGGCTATCTTCCACTATGCTGTTGAAACTGTGAAGAAGAGTATGATCACGGTTCAGGGCTGTCATACGTACCCCATTTTACCATTTTGCATCCCAAAAAAAGTTGTACCCTCGGGGTACACCATTTGTACCCCATTTGAGTTTTTGAATTTCTACTGTCATAAATTCGTCTATGAATTGAAATGAATTATAGTTTTTTTTATAATACTTGTCATGTCTCTGTAGAAACATTCATAATACGCAATACTGGTGAAGAATCGATCAATGATTATTATAGTACTTTGGCGTCAAATACAAGGTGATGGGTTGTCTTTTAATCGCTTCTCTTGCAATGATTTTTGTTGTTTTACAACTAAACTCAAATGTTTGTTAAGAGACACTTGGAACTATATAATAGTATAATAATATTAGCAAATCATCAAACTGACTGTATAAAGAGAATAAACAATAGTATATGTGCAAAAAAAGTGTGACATAAGTTTTATCAGGTATTAAAACGAATTTATTCCATGCAGACCATGACTGAACTATCTGGATAAATGATGTCTTGAGTGGTTAAAAATCACTATAGTCTCTAAGTCCAGAAGTATTATTTGAAAGGTTTCTGTTCATTAAAGGATTATTCAATGTTATATTATGTATCCGTATTATTCTCATCATCTTTGCCTTCATTGTGTTCTTTTTCGTCTACTAGTTCCTATTTATTTACATCCATTCTACTATTTGTAGATCCTTATAACAAAGGATGACGATTAATTAAAATATCGTAGCATTAGCGAGCATGTGTAATCATTGTTTTGTCTCCTGCCATCTGCGATTAGTACCAAATCAAAAACCACTATGGCTGGGATTACAGGCACCAGTGTCAGAACTAAGGTTCATTTTTTTCATAACTAAGCCAATTAGAATGATTAAATAAATTTCTGTTGGCAAATAATGGCTACGCTGTATAAGTATACTATAGAACTGTAAAACTATAATAAACGCTTACCAGAGGAATGAAATAAAACCAGATGAGATAAGAGACATTTATACATCTCCGGACAAAAGTCTTTTCCTCGTTATCTGTTTATGCTACCATACTTGAATTCAAATTTATTACCGAGTAGAGATTTGACATGAGAGTTTTATTACTGTATGATCTGTACACCATACTGAAATAAAACTCTCATGTTATATCTCTGTTTGGCAATCAATTTGAATCAAAGTATGACATCATAAAAAGGTAAAGAGGAAAAGACTTTTGTCCGAACGTGTACATTATAAGAATAATTATTTATATTTATTAACAGCTGTCACTCTTTAAAATAATGTTAATTGTAGCTGATAGCGGTCTCTCTATAACTATACCCGCAATATACAGTAACTGTTTTATATTTCTTGCTTATAGAAAAATACGAAAAAGTAAAAAACACCAAAACTGAAAAAAAAATTTTCATCTTGAATTTGACGCCAAAGTACTTTAGTTGATTTCAATATTTATTATGCCTTAATGAAAAATGTTATATCGTTTATTTTTATAGTACTTAGATTTGTTTCTAAAAGTCATGATTAACCTGAGAGTATTT